CAGCACTCCCAGGGGCGGCACAGAGCCACCCCTTAGGGGCCATCTGTACAACCTCTGAGTTAACTGAGTGCAAACAACTTGTGCACTTTGAACTCAGTTTGCAGCAATTGAAGTAAGCTGAGGACAAAGGAGGAAAGTGGGAGGAGGAGAGAGAGATTTTAAAAGTACCTGAAAAAAGTGTAACTACAGAGGATTAATCTTGGCAGTCCCTGCCAAAATGAGACAGTTGGAGGGCAGGGAATTCACAATTCATCTGAAATTACAATTTAATTAATTAAAAATATGCAATACACAATCAAGTCCTAGTAAACAATCAATAAATTGTGAAGTTGAAGGCTTTCATGGCTGGCATCCATAGTTTTTTGTGGGTTTTTGGGCTGTGTGGACATGTTCTAGAAGAGTTTTGCCAGCATCTGTTGCTGGCATCTTCAGAGAATTGTTTATCACTAAAACAAACAAACAAAATAAGATATAACAAATAAAATAATGGAAGACAAAACTTCCCAATGTATTAAAACTCCTGAAGTTCCTCAACTGGCTTGGATCTAAATCTATAAAGATTTAGACTAATCAATGCCTAGCTGTAGGCTATGATATCCTAAGTCTATATTATTCAAAACTTGCCCAGAAAGTCATCCACACAATGTCAGCATGAAGATCAGGACACATAGGTATCCTTAGACCAATTCTCCCAGCCAAAAATAATGCACTATTTTGCAAGCATTTGGTAGTGTTGCTATTAATTAACCTCAAATTAATATTATCATAGATTGATAGAAATTACAAGGGTGAAAAGGCTGATTTAAGCCAACTGTTTCATTTTGCATTTCATACATTTCCTGAACAACAGTGAATATTGTTTCTCTGCTAATTAAAACATATTGGTTTTCAAACTGTACAGATTTTATATTACTTAGGAGCACAATCTGAAAGTACTGAGCAGCCAACTCAAATGCCTATTAAATGATAATTATATCTACTTTATACCCCACATTTCAGTCAAGACTGAGACCTTAAGTGGATTACAATTAAAATCAGGACATGGGAGTAGCAGTTCATAATGGGAAGACTAGGCAATAGAGATCTCTATCCTAATTTCACATTTTTTTTCTTTTTGCTTCCATCTTGATGTGATCTTATCACAGATTCCTTGCACTAGTTTATTATTTTTGTGTCTTTGAAACAAATTACAGCCAATTACTTAGCCTTAACCACACAAAAAATAGATATGTAAGCCTCCACCCCACCCCAGGCTGTGAGTTATGTTTTATGAAATACATCAATGTCTGTAAGGATCTAGCCCTAACAGAGAGGTAACATCATCTGATGAAAGTGAGCTGGGGTGGGATGACTGGCAACCCACAACTCTCATTGCACCTACTGGCTTCTCATGGCTATTAAGTGCTGATCCCTAGGGTGAGTACCAGCCCCATCACAAGGATTTTCCTCCCAGAATACCCCTAACAAGAGCAAAAGGAGCCACAAAGATTATTTTTCTTTGGAGGAGTCTAGTGGCTGCTTAGAAATGGGTGGGCATGGTTGTAATTATGCAGTAATGGAATCCTTATATGATGCTTGTATTCCATGCAATGTCACTTATTGAAAAAAGCCACAAAACTAATATAGAGTTCGGTCAAGTTAAAGGTGTAGCTACAGGGAACAAAATAAAAATTCTTCACCCCAAAAGGAAATTTTCCATCAGCCCACAAGTTTCTAGCATTGCAGTAACTTAAAAATGCAATTGAGCATTTAGAAATAGTTTAGATCCAAATAAGAGAGGTAAAACATATTACAAATTGAATGTGAACATAGAAAAATTCTAGATGTGAATGATTTTCAGTGTCTCATTCTGCAGCTCTAGAAGTTGGGGACTGAATTAAAATTGGAGGAAAAAAATTCTTACTTGGGGGAGGCAAAACCTGCAGCTATATCCCTGGGTTGAGTGTACTGAACTTCCTTTAAACCTGACAATTATCTGTGATTCTATGTGAGATATCAAATAAGTGGTCATGCTATTTTGATGACAGACTCATAAGTACTAATTGTTTTCTTGAATAGTAAACACCAAGCACAAATGTTGTGCAGAATAGGCCCTGAACTGCCAATAGTCTTTGTACAGTTTTCAAAGACTCTCACAAATGGAAGAAAATTGCTCAAATCACTTATTTCTTCTCTCGAGAGAGCTGCATATGAAATTATAAGTAACTTCCCACTGTGAAATGGAAGAGCTACACATTATAATGTTAGATTTGAAAATCAATATGATGGTATTAAATATTAAAATCAGAAAATGTATCTACTTATATCATCTTCATTATCACAATCCTCATCCCACCTTTCCCCCAAAAATGGAACTCAAAGTAGCTTAAAAATTAAAATATTAACAGGAATAATTCAAAGGGTTTAATTAGTTGAGTTGTCACTAGCTGACTCACTGGTTAAAACCTTAATATTGGATTGGACCATAGGATTTACAGAGAGTGTCATGGAGATTGTCATTTTTGACTTTAGGGGAGTATGCTTTGTTACTGGCTCCCTTGAAATTGCTCCTTTTGTCCTTTTAAAGTTGCCTTTTTCCAACATAAGTGTTGTTTTTTTCTCACATGGACTACAAAGCCAATAATATGACAGTTGGTTGGAATGGTAGGAATCCTGAACATCTGGGAACTTTCAGTTTAGGAGCAGCAACTCCAAAACATAGGAATTAATCTGACAACCTTTTCAATTCAATTTGCCACTCATCTGTATCTTTCTTTTCTTTCCATCCCCACCAACATATATATTTTACTTAATCATCAAATGTATTGTTTGTTTAAGGTTAACAAGACACTGTAAGCACAGCTGGATAAGTGGATGGCTACAAAAATTGGTCATTGAATCAAGAGTGGAGAATGTCAGGGATCCTAAATTCAGCCCATGGCATCTTCAAGTTTAAATGAGCATGTATCTAACAAGGCTGCTCTTCTCTGAAGTTTACCTTAATTGTCTAAATAAAGGAGGCTGACTAAGGAGAAGGAGGACAAAGTCATGAAGGTAGTTGGTGTAAAACCAGAAATGGAAAGTGGTAGGGGTAGGAGGGAGCCAGGAGAAAAAAATGGGGGGAGGGCTTTGAGGAAAACCTTTCACTTAATTATCCAAGTACATAGTGTTGCGTCTGCACAAAGGACACCGACTCAATATTATGGATGAAACA